ACCAAACCAGTGATATCAGCGTCGGTTGCCATGGTGACCAGGGGCCTGGTGTCGTTCGCAGACATCCTGGCACCCATAGGTTTATTGCGTGAGGGGTCTGTGACTATTTGTTAATCTTGTTAATCTTGGTGTGTCTGATTGGTCCAAATGCTACACAATTTTAGAGCAATTTTTTGTTTGTTTGTTTTGTTTGTTTTTGAACGAATCCATCTGGCTTTAAAGAACTAGAGCATTTAAAGTGGCAGACGACAAAATGGCAGTGCATGTTTATAATAAACAGAACATTACTGTGCTAATATTGTTATTGTTTTCGTTATGTTTATATGGAATGAACAAGCCTTTAGTCCTAATTAATGAAAAAGAAAAAAACAACAACTAAAGCATTTGCACTCTCAAAAACAAAAAAGTGGAAAAGTTTTACCTTTAGCTGTACAACATCTTGTCACAGGGGCAGTGCACTTAAAGGGAAAACTTGTATTTAATAAAATCCTAAAAGATTCATAGTAGTAATATAAAGGTACATATTACTATTCTAAGGTATTAAATACACAATATAGGGGTATGTAAGGTACAAAGATACCTGACATTGACATTTAAAAAATACTTTTGTTTGGTTAGTCTGACTGAAATTGAACTTTTAAAGTGCATGTAAACAGACTTACAGTGCACAGCATAAATGAGTACACCCCCTCTGAAACTTAACAAATTCAGCAATTACTCTTTGCTTAGAAGACATGTTATGGTTTTTTAGAGATATAATATTCCAGCAAGTCTGCTTGATCAGTTACCAAAGAAGAATGTTAAAATTATTCAAGAAAATACCATTTTCTTATCAAAGTGATAAAATGTTGTGTTGCAAAAATGAGTACACCTTCCTGAAAGCTACTAAATAAAACTAACAAAAAAAAAAATTCTGGTGTAAGGTTAAGGCAAGTATTGATCAACAGGTAAGTATGTTGAACCAAAACTGTCAAAGGTAAGTAATTTCTTGATAATTAAGTGTTATATGGCCCACTGAATCATACTCAGACTTAATGCTGACAACGAAACCACTTGAGAGAGAACTGTCAGGAGATTTATTTCTTAGCATAAAAGAGGACAATGGTACAAGAGGAATACCAAATTATTGTTTTAAGTGTGAAAATATAGCAGAAGTAACACAAAAATTCAAAAACAATGGACTTGTGAAAAGGCCCCTGAAATAATCAGGTCTTCACTTTAAGCTTTCATTTAGTGATGAGTGAGTTTTTGCTACATAAAGAGCAGGAGAAACACTGTGAAAGTGTCTCAGAGCCGGCAAAAGCTGTGAAAAGAGTGACACTTTATCTCACAACATAAGATGCAGCATGCAGAAGTGACATGCAAGGTTGTTTATCCACACCAGAACTACCGACTGTAGCCAAAGCACAATAAACTCATTTAGCTTTTTCCAAGGCCCATATTTACAAAATAAAGACTTCTGGGAATCCATACTCTGGTCTCATGAGACCAATTCAATCATTTCGGATCTAACAGCATCCAAAATGTTCTGGTGTTGCTAGAGGAGGAGTACAGAGAGAAGTGCCTGGTTCCCACAGTGGCATTCAGTGGTAGTAAAGCTCTTCTATAGGGATGTATG